TCCCTGGGCAACACCACCACCTCCCGGCCGCGCGGGGCGGCTGCCCGCCCTGCCCGCTTCTGCCCTGCCCGTCCTGCCTGCTGTGTCCGCCCTGCCCGTCCTGCCTGCTGTGTCCGCCCTGCCGGCCCTGCCCGCCCTGCCGGCCCTGCCCGCGGTGCCGGCCCTGCCCGCGGCAGCCCCTGCGTCGTCTCTCCCAGTCCCCTGTGTCAGGGCTGGTGCGCGGTGAGCTCAACCTCCCAGCTGCCACCCAGAGGTTTAGGGCAAGGAGAAGGGAGAATGGGCAAAAGGTGAAACAACAAGCAGCAATATGCCTTTTAAATGAGAACGTGGTCTTGAAAGTATTTGAAGAATATTTGTAAGCCCGGGAGAGATGTGGTTGCATTGTGATAAGTGTTGATTGGCCATCAAATCCACACGGCGTGGTCCCTCTTGGGCGGTCGGTGTTTGGGACTTTCGGAAATAGGGTTCCAGCAGACACGCTCACATCTGCAAAACCAGCGCTTGCTTTCCGTCACTGCCCGTTGAAACCTCACTGTTGCTCTGACATCCCTGTCAGCCAGCTTGCTGTGTAATGAAATTCAGAGGCAGGACTAACTCTGTGTTTGCCCAGCGCCTACTGGTGGGACCCTGAGGATATTACAGTATAAATGTGAAACGGTAGTTATTACTGAAAATCAAATACAGAAGTCTTGTGAGAACAAATGAAATATATTGTCTTGTTAAAATTATGATATTTACAGGAATATATTTTGTTAAAGTGTTTAAACAGTTCTAGTTTCTCCAATCACTTGTGAAACCGTTCTCTTGAAGATACTTTAAGACTTTTCTCCCCAAACTTCCCATGAATTAAAGTACTTCCTAAGACCTAACAGAACACAGTGTTGATGGCATGGAAAAAAGCTTTTGCTTCACATAGAGAGAATTTTGAGTTTTACCTATTTGGAAACTAAAAGCTCCAGAATGTGTTTTGATGCATTATAAGGATGTTTTGTGCAAATTCACCCAGGCAAACTGTGCCTGCTCAGAAACGTGAGGTCTGAGGCTGTTCCTGCCGCTCTCACAAGGGCATGGCTGAGTTCAGAGAGCACAAAGGAGCTGATATATTTCTACAGTGGTGTATTTCTAGAGAGCCATACCAGGCAGGGTTTTGTCCAGAGTCAGTGGTGACAGTCAACAACTGACCCTCACCCTTGAGAGGCCTCCAGAGAGAAGCGAGTGAAGCTGCTGGGCCTCAGACTGAGGTGGTGTTGGGTGGAAATAGGAAAGCAGCAGCCCTGGCTGGTTTGTGCCACTGCTGTCGGGTGTTGCACCACGAAGCTCTCTGAAACGAGAGCTACTTTGAAGGAGGCTGATCCTCACTGCATGAAGAATGGCTTTATAAAGGCTGTGCTTTGTGCTTCTTCTTGGATAACAACCAAACACACGGCCGTGGCTGCTCTGAGCCCATCCTGCATGCAGCACCTGTGCCATCTGAAATCATCGCTGCTTCAGAGCAGCCCGCCAGCTTTTCCAAGTCCAAACCCATACTTACATCAGAAGGAGTTAGATAAAATGTTGGTTTTCAAATTCTTGGAGAGGGAAAAAAAGAAAAAGAAAGGAAAGAAAATATTTTACTAAGTTCCTTCTGTCTTAGTATGGAAACAAAAATACCTTATAAAATTCATAGACACATAGTTTGTAGATCTAAGCTACAGTGTTTTGACAGTAAATTCAGTTATTTTAAACTGAATGGTACCGGTTTAATGCAGCTTTCAGCTTTTCAAAATGTTTCTCATTATCAGAGGGTTTTTTGTGAAATAAACTTGAAGGACTTACCTATATTTAAAAATGGTGTTCCCTGTCTGGTATTTCAGAGACACTGATTGTTGTTTTTATTGCTTCTATTATTATGCGCAGCCCTGTGAAATCCATCAAGTGTAAGAAAGAAAGAACAAATCCTTTACCTATTTTGAACTTGTTACTTAATTACAAATAGTAACTGTTGATTGTTTCAGTGTTATAATTAAATCACTCTGCACATTTAAAACTCCTCCATCATGATATAAATGTCTGCCCAAATTTGAAATGCAGGAATGAGCTGTTGTGGGCAAATCAGTTGCTCCTTGCCAGTATAAGAATCTTTAACACAGGGTTTAAGGAGCCCTGTTTAAAATACGACCTCTAGTGTTACTGCCAATACTGTCTCTTTGTTTAGCATGGCAGTAAGTAAATTGTCAGCAATTAATATATGACCGTAATTCATCCGGTGTTACCCTTGACTAAAAGAAATTATATGTGCAACTTTAATCCCACTGGAGAATTGTCCCTGTTTGACTCCTGCACCAGTACAGAGCTCCAGCGAGGCCAGCTGCACTCTAATGCACCCTGCGTTATACGTGATCGAAAGGCCTAGCAGGGAAAGGGGGGGGAAAGCCAATTATTTCATTTTCAGGACAACGAACTCCTGGAGGGAAGAGAGCTACAGATGTCATATTATTTCATTTTCCAGATAACATGACTGTTACTGCATCACTGGAGACACTGCATGTGGTTCTCACCTTTCCTGAAGAATAAGAGGGAAAAGTGTAGCAATGTGTCAGGTTGAAGTTGGTTTCTTAGAGAATTTGATTATGCTAATTATCCTTATCTGTAATAGAGAGCACAGACAATAATGTTGCCACTTAACATGGAATTGTGTGATCTTGTGAAAGAGATCTGTTGTGGCCAGAGCTCTTTAGAAGGTTTTAAAATTGAATGCTTCTGCAAACAGAATTACTGTGGAAATTCATAAGAACCCAGCGTAGGTGAGGACTACAGGGTCAGATCTCCTAGTAAATAAATATTGTGCCAAAATCATTAAAATGCTGCAGCTTGCAGAGCACTTTATTGTCTTGCACCAGTCGGTGACATTTACACCTTCGCAGGGAAACTGTTATAACTGGTGAGGGCAAGGAGGACCTTGATGTGACAGCCTTTGAAACCCGCTTTGTGAATGAGGATGCAGTGTGAACCGACCTGATAGTCGCATGCTGAAATACACCAGTCTCCTTCTACATTTTATCGATCCTTCTCTTTCCTGGAGAAGAAAAGTTGTTATTAAAAATACTAATATATGATGGAGAGGACAGAAAGATTGCCTTTGATTTAAAGGCTGTGCGCATGAATTGCATAGCGGTAAAAATGTTTCAGCCCTAAGAAGATATGACACAGGAATCTTCAAAAGCCCCGATTCCAGCAGTGCTGAGTTGCTTCCCTTGCTGTTTTGCTGCTGAATCATTTTGACAGCGTGAGGAACAGGGTCTAAACACTACTACATGGCAAAGAGCCAAACTGCTAAGCTGTACGAGCCACTTCAGTAGTCTGAGTAATGCAAAGGCAGAGCAGCCTGAAAAGCAACTGTAAATTTATGATCAATTGTAGATGTAAAGGTACATCTTGAGACATCCGCAGTTCTTAGCGATTTGTAAAAGGAGGTAACTTCTGATGCTGCTATGAAATGCTGTTACCGTTGCTGCTGGGAGGCTGGGACTGCAAGGTACAATTTTCCTGCCTCTTGTATACTTCTATAATGGCTCTCAAGGCAATGTCTTCTGTGGGTGTTACAGGAGGAATAGGTACAGATTTGAATGACACAAAGTGTGGAATTATTAAATTTTTTTGTTCTCCCGTTTCCTCTCGTAGTAACAGCAGTTTGTTCAGAGTTGCGTTTGGGGAGAGAAGATGCGGGCACAGGTCAGACACTATGTCTCTAATTTAGAGCAGGCCAAATTATAGCCAGATGAAGCAACGGCAGAGGGGATTGCACTGGGGTTATGGTATATTCTGGGTTCTGGAGGGTGCGCGTGTTTGGGTCTGTCAGCATGTTTATTGATGCTGGGCCTGCGTGTAGGTAACACAGCAGCTCATGATTTCCAAGGCAGGTGAGGAATGTTTAGCACAAATAAATCTGCGTAGCTGCTCCTGCGGTAAAACTACTGCTGGCATCTCTTGGTGTGAGCAAGTGCCGGTGTGTCAGCAGTCAGAGGCACTGAGCATCGGGTGCGAGGGCTGGGCTGATGTGACACAGCTCTGTCGAAGTGGAGTGAGAACAAGGCTGAGGCTGGCATAGCACCAACGCTTTATATCAGTGCAGGTCAACTGGAAAAAGACCTTTTGCTGGTATCGCTTTTTTTCCAGTTGAGGACCTGGTTTAAGCTGTCCTGGCAGACCTCTCTCACTGGGATTAACTGTGTCCATTAAGAGGTTTGCTAACTCAGCCTTATTAATACCACTGTAGAGCAATCATTTTAAATCCAGAGCTCTCAGCTAGTGGCATCCTTCTGCTCCTCAGTGCTGGCTGCCTGCTTTTAAGTGTTGTTGTTGATGGGAGGGTACTGCAAGCCAGAAGCCTGTCTTTGGGTATGTCTTCTGCCACTTGCTTTCACGCCTTGTAAAGCTACCTGAACTGTTTTTAGACAGGGAGCACTGTAACGAAAGGAGTCTGGCAATGATAACTCTGAGACCTTTATGATCTAATTTATCTTTGTTACCTGGGTAAATTAGCCCACACAGAGCTCTGCGCTGTCATGTCTGATCATTTATTGATTCCTGCCTAGTGAAAATCTTCCTCTACAGGTCTGCATCATAGCGGGTACGTGTGCTCTGGTAGCCTGGCTGATAGGATGAGAAGGCAGAAGTCCCTCCAAGTAGTAGTTCAGAAGAAGGAGCTGTTAACACAGGAATTTGGATTTTGAAAATCTCTGTCTTTCATCTTTCGTATCTGTCTGTATTTAAAATGCAAGCAGGAGAGATTGTGTGTGCGTGCGTTACATGTAAAACACATTTTGGAGACAAAGATCAAATTTACACTGCAGTGCTGATGGTTAAATTATGAATTTGGAGCCCATTACTTTGTAAGCTGTTTCAAAGCATACTAGCACTTGGTT